ACATCTTAACAAAAATGCTTTTTTTTTGTCCTTTTGTTTAGGCAAATATTTTATTATCTAAAAAATCCTTGAAATTTGTAAACTTTTCTTAGTAATTTTGAAGATGAAATGTAGGACTTCCATAGTAAGTATTTTTATTCATTTACTTATTATTATCGACCTAAAACTGCTTTCCTTTGCATTCATGAAACCCAAGGTTCGACTGTGATGATATCCTTATAAGATATATTCCAAATGAAAGATAGCCTTTAAATACTTTGTTGCCAAATTCATTAAGATGCCATGTTTATTCATAAAATTAGAATAATATGTCAGTAGTGGCCCCCTAAATAAAGTGATTAACTTAATGATCAAAACTTTGTTGCAAATGTTAAAAGGTCCGTAGGGACTATAAAAGTTAAAATTAGTCCATTTGACCCTCAAAATTAAAATTACATACCATGATTTGATAAAGTTTTCTTTGAGTTCAAAGATGTAATAGAAATAAATAAAAGTGTAATACACAAATAAATATAAGTCATGTATATTCGGAATAACTGCAGGTCGTGCTTACCATAGACTTTATGCTTATTTCAAGGTATCCCTTCAGATCTCATATGAGTTAGATGAAAAAATATTGTTGTTTCCAAACCTTTCAGGTATTTATAAGTTCATCTTGTTCAATGAAACCAAATCTTAATACCAATTAATCCCACAATGTTAATCAAATTATTCTCCAAAAATGGCTTCTAAAACTCACTGTTGCTTAATGGAGTTACAGTTGAAATTGCAGTTGGAATTACACAATAATCATAAAAAATAGCAACGTACTCTTTTACTTTCACAGTTAGGATTAGACATTAAGTTTTATTTTAAAGTGTTTTACACAACATATATACGTTTTTTCGTGGCCTCGGTTGAGTCAATTTCTTCACAAAGAAGCTATATTGCTATTGTTGGTAGAAAAAAGATATTCTAAGTTCCTAGCCCATAGCAGTAACATGCTATCATTCCCTTAGCAAATAGGAGATTCATAGGCCGTGCTTAGCACGGGCCTTAATTTTTTCTAGTATATATATATATATATATATATATATATATATATATATATATATATATATATATATATATATATATATATTTATCAACGGGGTCCCTGTGGTGGTTTCGGGATGGAATTGCCCATCCCGCCCACGCCCTAATCCTTGCCTCGATTTTTTTAATAAATACCCACAAACGCAATGGACCACCCACGGGAACGAGATCCTACGAGACTTTTTAACATCCTTAGGTTGAGGTGGCAGATATACCATTGATGAACATTGGGCCATGAGGGGGTAAGGGGTTTTACTGCCGGTATACTACCAACGACGATTTTTTACCGTGGATAAAAGTTTTAGAAAAACACGAACGTTGGGCTGGTTTGAACGTTGGAACTATCTATTGACATCATTAATTTTTTTTTTTTTTCCATCTATTCTTACCTCTCTCTCTCTCTCTCTCTCTATATATATATATATATATATATATATATATATATATATATATATATATATATATATATATATATATATATATGGCCACACCCTACCTTGTAGGTGAAAAATGTAAAAATTGCAAAAACTTAGATGACGTAACACCTTTTACCATTGATAAAAATTATACCATGCCCATTAGTCTAACAAAACGTTACATGATACTAGCTAGTTTTAACAAACTTTAATGTATTAAGGTTTTTTATTTGTTTTTTTAAACCAATAAAAAAAAATTAACAGAATAATCTAATGATTTCAATTGAACCAATAAAAAAGTAATAATTTTTTTTAACCAATAAAAAAATCTAAATATTCAAACCATATATCTAATGATTTCGGATGAAATTGTCTGATCGTATAATTTAATTCATTATTATTATAGTAACCTGTCCTAAAAATCATCATAATATAAGCACGATAAATATCATATTTTAAGAAGTATTACGTGAAAGACATCACTAAATTCACAATATAAAAATGGCTTTGTAAACTAACTGCAAAATTGTTAATATAGAAAATGAAATACATCATTCTGTTAAATGTCCCCTAAAATTGCCATTAAAAAAAAATAAAAAATAAAAAATAAAAAAGTTTCTTACAAAGAAACGCCACTACATAGTACATACAACAATGTAAAAAAAAAAAAAAAAAAAAAAATGATGATGGTAATCTGATTCGTTTACGCTGCCCGTTGCACATACGACCCTTCTCTTCGATTTTGTACAATTTTCCTCCTGCCCTCTGTCTCGCTCATTCTCAACCGCATGCTTGGAAATGGAGGCAGCACTGGGATTGATGAGAAGAATCCCTCCCAAACACACAGAAGCAGCCCTCTCCGCCCTCGTCAGCCTTTTGCCCTCCTACTCCTCCGATCTCCTCTCTCAAGTCGATCAGCCTCTTCAGGTTTTATAAACCCTAACTTACAATCTCATGCATTTATATATAAATTACGCCTTTACTTTCACATTTCCATCGATCAACGCTCTATCATCTTCAAGCTTGCCTCTGCATTTACTTTGATTTGAATTTCTTTGTTCATGTAACATTTGGGAGTCATTTTGGAAGGATAGGTAGACTTCCTCAAGTTTTATCCGTATTGTTGGGGATTTTGATTGTGCAATCAAATTGAAATTTATAACATGCAATTACACATCGAACGAACTATTGTTAACAGAATTCAGATGCTCGAACTTATTCAAGCGGAAAAAATGATATAAATGATGGATAAAATTACTCATTCATGAACAATCCATTTTCTAGCTACATAGTGTTCAGTTAAGCCTGATGAGATATATTCCATCCATCTCTTTTGTGTGGTTCTCACTGAAGTGTTGGTTCTTGGTTCACCTCTTTGCAAACAGGTGTTATGTGATGTGGATAGTGCTAAAGAATTCATCTTGTGTGACTATAATAGAGATGCCGACTCATACAGGTAACAATGTGACTATAAAAGCAAGTTTTATTGGCTGTTGATAATGTGAAATATTTGTTTGGTTGGTTGTACTTTGTAGATCACCATGGTCAAATAAATACCATCCTCCATTAGAAGGGGGGCTGTATCCATCTCCTGAATTGAGGACACTTGAAATAGAAGCAAATGAAGTCTTCAGTGTATATCGTGACCAGTGAGGTCCTTTACTTACACCTCGTTTGTATGTTGGATTTATTGTGTAATATGAAAGAAATATGAATGTTGTGTTTTAATTTTAAAAAAAATTGGAATATGTTGCATGTTGAATGTTGGGGGTTTAAAGGTATTATGAAGGTGGTACTTCATCAGTGTACTTATGGGAGGATGATGAAAAGGAAGGCTTCCTGGCTTGCTTCTTGATAAAAAAAGGTTGGTGTGGTCATTTTTATATCCTTTTGAGTAATATTAATATTTGAAGTTTGAATGAAGATGGATCAAAGTATGCACATGGTGTGCGAGGTTACCTGAACGAGGGAGGTTGGGATGCTATACATCTTATTGAGGTAGGCTGTAGACTGTAGAGATTTTTTTTTGATCTGTTAACTGATAAGAAGATAATATGATGATGATTGATTTTTTGTTGGAATTATTGGTACATTAGGTTGGGCCAGAAGTGGAAGGAATGGCTGATTACTGTCTAACAAGCACTGTGATGCTGTCAATGACTACAGATCATGAGAATTCTGGGACTTTTAGTTTGTCTGGATCAATTCGCAGACAGGTATATCATATCATCTTCTTATTCTTATTATGTCTGATTAACCCTATAAAAATTAAAAAGAAAGAAAAGATTTTGTTTATGCTTTATATATACTACTAAATAATGAGTATATATTATATTTATATATAGATGAAGGCGGAACTGTCAGTTGCAGATGGGCATCTGGCAAACATGGGAAAGCTGATAGAAGAGATCGAAGGAAAGTTGAGGTATTCACTTGATCAGGTACCTAATTCCTCTACCTACCCTACCTGTAGCTATCTGTATGTATTTTATTTCGATTTTTGTTCCATATAAATATATGAAATAAATGCATGGATTGCAGGTGTACTTTGGGAAAACAAAGGAGATGATATGGACATTGCGCCCTCCTACGGAACTGCCCAGCACAAGACTGCTTCCGTGAACTTCAAACACACATATATTGACTCATAAATTTTGTGTTTTTGTGTCCTGTTTTTCCATGTTTGGTTACGTTGTACTAATGTTGGAGCTTGCTATGTAACCATCATCATATATTTTTAAAACACAACAAAAGCTACATTATAATTTCATGTTAGGTCACCACATTCACATTCATTGAATTGATGGTGGAATCAATTTAAACTTCAAAGCAGTGACCATAAATTTTGTAGATACAACCCAAAACAACTAGGAATAAAACATCTTAACCAAAAAGGGAGGTAAAAGTTAAATTTCGTAGATGAGAATGAAAACAATTAAGAATAAAACATTTAAGCAAAAAATAAAAAGTATCATAATGAGCATGTACAACCAAGTAGTCAGAGATCACAAAGAAACCAACTCAGGACTTGTTATCTTCAACATACTACCAGACAAATGGATGAAGCTGTAATCTTTTTATGAAACTTTTTGTGATCTACATACAATACGATCCATTCCAACAAATTTTTGAAGCTCAATTTTAATTTCAAACCAAGGCCAAAGGGAGTGATATCATGTCATGCTGTTTTTCCAATCACCTCAGCTTTATGTTAGTTTTGCCACACTTTTCTTTTTAGCGTTCGAAAGGAGATGGGTTCACTGTTGCCACTTTTTTCCAATTTATTTATTTAATATTTTAATTTAGCTAAAAACTATAATACCATTTTATGTATATCACTAGAGATTTAAAAAAAAAAAAATCATAATTGAAATAATAAAATTTGACGTCTTTTTTTAAATAATTAAAAACTTCTGTCACAGTTAAGAACACATAAATATTTTTGGGTTATGAAATTTTAAGCCCAAGGGAGAAACTTCTTAGGGCTTTGAATTCAGATGACTAAAGAATTGACCATATACTATAGAATAAAGAAAAAAAATGGTTATACACTATCAAGTATCGCCTATACCACATTTTATATTTTCATAAACTTGCAAGTTTTTTTTAAAATAAAAAGAGTCCGTCCTACAATAATCCAAAATAATAAACACAAGAAAAAGAAAAAAAAACACTCTCCTTTTCCTCATTACCTTTTCTTTTCCAACAACACTTTCAAAGCAACTCTTGTAACATTTAATCCCAAAATAGCATCATGATTCAAACACAAATCATTCAAGCTTTTGCTTTTGCTTCAACTTGGCTGCTGGCATTAATAGTTTCTTCCTCTTTTTCTTCTTGGGTATCTTCCTCTTCTGTGACTGTGTCACTCTCATCTTCATCTGCATACAAGTAAGTACAAAATCGATTTCCCATATTAAGTCACATTTAGATAAAAATGTTTTGATGGCTTGGCTTTTAAAGATGCATGGTCTTACCTTCATCATCAAAATCTTCTTCTTCTTCTTCTTCTCCACCACCACCCAAATTTAGACTCTAGTGAAAATGAAGAGCCACACATTAGATTTAATTGCAACTTCTTTTTTAAAAGAATATAAAAATAGCTAAAGGAAGACAATATTTACCGAGAAATTAACATCATCATAGTCCATATCAGGTCCAGCTGAGGAAAAAAACCAAAAGCAATTAAGCAACATATATTCTATGAATCACAATCTTCTTTTCCATTTACATTTAACATTTCAAACATTGAGTCTGTTTTGTATGAGAATTTCTATAAGATATAAATATCATTCTACAGAAAATAAAATCAAAATTAACTTACTAAATTTTCAATTTTACTTGCATGCCATTTAGAATAAGACATAATCAAAATCAACATATTTTTATCCGAAAACTAGTTAACTAGTTGAAATTACCATCTATAAAATTGCTAAACTGTTAATAATTATTATTTTGTAAATACAAAAAGATATGAAAATTATTTTTAAATAAAATATAGATACAAAACTTAGGGTTTAGGAAGGGCATTACAGTCATTTTCACAAATGAAGACTTTATGGAAGTAAAGTAGAATTCCTTTACTGGTGTGGTGGGAATTCTAAGTCAGTACTCATTTGCAACCGAAATGCCAGAATAGAGAATGGAATGGAGTTTCCAATAAAAATAAAGAATGAATGATAGAAATAGATGTAAATGATGTGTAAAAAAGAATAAGATGTAATTGTAATGTAATGTAATTAACCACCTTTCTCATCCTGTTCATCTTCATCCACCCATTTATTCCAGTCAACTTTGATGAAAGTGGGTGTTCTTCCCTCTTGCTTCAAAAGTCTGCTCCACCATTTACTCTCTTCCTTCTTTACAATGTAAACAATATTTCTTGACCCAACATTAGCCTTGCTCTCCTGCAATTCCCAATTCCCAATATTATATAAAAATATAAAATACCTCCCAACTATGCAGCTACATTTGTTACAAGGGCATTCAAGTCTTTTGGAAGAAAATTTGGTATAACAAATGAGGCTTAAATGATGTACAACGACTACTGAAAAGAGTTGTATTTTTGTAAGGGTACTTACGTCCACATTCACATTGTCATAAAGGTTGATGTCAATTTCATAAGGTATATTGTCAGCTCCACTTGTTGCAGAGAAGTAAAACTTTCCTTCTGGCTCCAGTTTGAGGTTCACAGCTTTAGCATCGGGTAGATCAATGGTGATATAAAGCAAATCATCCCTCTGGGCCCACTTTAGGGTAGGATGTCGGCTGCAAATGTCCATAACAGAATGTAAAGGCATGTAAACTAAGAATGAAGTACACTAGAAAGAAATATGTTTCCAAGCTTGTGTTGTGTATGTCCATTTACTATTGCCCTATCCACATTTATACATTCTTGTATAGTTCATCGCCATTTCAATCAGTTTCGCTTGTTCAACTGAAACTGAATTGATTCAGTCAACTCAGCTACTGAAAGGGAACAATAAGTATTAAGTATAACAAATTAACAATCAAAACCCCAATACAGAAACTGAAAGCCCAATTAAATTAAACACAACTCCTCCACTTCTTTTAGCAACATGCAAAATTCATCAGTAGTTGGAAATTAGCGACCATAACCGTGACTTGCCCAATTACTTGAACTATAAACCCTCCGGCAAACCAACTTTAAAATCAAATCCAGAACCAAAACAATTATATTATCAAAACCATACGTTCGAATTCAAATCAATTCACAATGACCAAGTAACACAGAATCAAAGTAACACATATTAAATATCTACCCCACAGAATTTTCAACTCGATACATTTATCATTTATGATACGAATTTGTGCGATTCAAACTGGATTTAAGTTAAGCAAATATATACATTTAACATTTATGATTTAAGTCATTTAACCTAGCATACCGGCCAAAAAACAACACAAATTTGGAAAATCGGAAACAATTACAAGTTGCTTTTATTTACTAAATCGTTCATAAGCTTATAACACATCATATAACTTGAGGTAATAGTATTTCTTTTCCGACAAGAACAAAATAAGTGAATAAGCGAAGCTTCATTGAATATATGCATTCAAACAAGTAGGAAAATAAACGAAAAACAAATATTTTCTTTGCAAAGCGTAAGCTACGAAGGAAAATCGGCACCTCATATTGCTTGATCCTACGAATTTCTGTTCGGAAAAGGTATTTGAAGAAGGATAAAGAAGGAGAGTGAATCAGAGAACGGCGAACTATCTAGAAACTAGAATCCTAGATGCTGACTGCTGTTATATGAACGCTTGTTTGAAATTTGACCCTTTAAGAAAAAGTGGAGGGGGAAGGATAGAAATGTAGGGGTAGTTTGGGATTCATTTTGATTTTTGACTTTTACTTTTTTCAAAAAATAAAAAATAAAAAATAAAAATAATAAAAATAATAAAAATAAAAACTTTTTGGATAATAGAAAAGCTTCTTTGAACATGAATATTTGTACAGAAGAAAAAAAATAGTTTCTAAAAATCACAAAAAGTTGATTTTTTATAAATTTTTTGATTGTTTTATATGTAAAAGTTAAATTAAAAGTCTTTTTATTGATTTTTTACTAATACAAATACATTTTAATAAATTCTTCTTACAAAAAATCCTACAAAAATGACTTTTGATGTTCAAAAATAATCCAAAAACATGTTTTACTAATTTGTAACATTTTAATAAATAATTAATACAAAAAAGATATTACAAAATAATCGTAATTTTTAAAAACGTATATTTAACATTTATTTTGTAAAACATTTTTATGCTAAATTTTTTTTTCGTAAAATCATATTTTATGAATTTTAATCTATTTTACAAAGAAAGATTAAAAATCTATTCGATTGAAAGAACTTTGACAATTGTAAATATGTGATATCTAATAAAACGATTTTATAATAAAAATGTTTTGTAAAAATTATAGGTTATAATGTTGTGATAATATTGAAAATTGATCATTTTATGTTATCCTTTTACTTTTTGAGGGTATTTTTGTTATTATTTATTTAATACATTCACCTATATCTCTATATTTTTGTATATCTATAGTCAAATTTAAGAAAGAATTCAAAATAATGCGGGAAAAATTTTGATCCCGATTTTTGTATTGAATTTATGCAACGATTATGTTTTTAAAATTCCATCGTATTGTGATTGTTCAACAGTTTTTTTAACCGTTTATAAATAAATGAAATAACATTTTGGATGAATTTAATCCAATTGTGATGATGAGTTTTTTGATTCTTTAATAATCTTGGGCTTTTTTAACATATTCGTATCTATTTCCATCTATCTATTTATTTACATATATGAAAAAATATCACAAAATAAATAATTATTTTTTAATATATTAATTCAAATCACTTTTATTTGTCCACACTTAATGTTAATTTTATTTTTATGTAATCATTCCCCTTTCCTTAAATAATATCATTTCATTGCTTCACTTACAATTCAACTAGAGAAATTAACTATTCTCCTATTTTCTTTCTACGATATCTTCTTATCCATTTTAAATAATGACAAATGTATTAAAATATTAATAATATTACCCAAATATGACACATGTTATCATTTTATATGAACTAGTGTGTGAACCCGTGGTGAACCACGGGTCACGTTAGTGGTGGACGTTTGGTAGTAGTAATAGAGTATAATTGGGTGTTGATGACAAAAATTGAAATCCTGAATTCTGAATGAGAAATTGTATGAAACCTCAAACCCCAGAGTTAGAGACATCATTCAAAATAATAGATGGTGGTGGGTTTTGTCTTGGGAAAGTAAGACAGTGAAAACATAGATGGACGAAAGAGTGAATATTTACAAAGTTATATGTTGAAACTCTAATATCCATGAAGTTTACTATTCTTAGATGTGTTGGTTTTTCTATATGTATATAGTTGAAGAAAAAAAAGTTATCCATGAAAGTCTTCAAAATGCGAAATAGTGTAGTTTATGTAGGTGCAATGTTGAAACGATTCATATTCGAATCAGTTCGTAAAGGTATATCTTTTGCAACCTAGAACGGACTTGTTATTCTTCTCACACACAACTATAAACATGAACAATAAACACAATAAAAACAACAAACTGAAAAGTAAATGTTATTTTGTCTGAATATGACATAGTTCTTATTGAATATTTACATATTATTGTTTAAACATAATATGTTGAATGCAGTCTATAATATGGACAAAAAGCTATATAATGAAAGGACTATAGTTTAAGTCTAAGTATGTTTTGAAAAGATCAAATAGTTTTATTGCTTTTTGGCATGTGTTCCTTCGTCGTTGTTTTTGTATTTCTCTCGTTTGGGGCGTGGTTTTTTTGTTGTATCTGTGAAATGTAAGATGTTGGTTACGTGTAAGCAATAAATAAAGTGCTATATGTTGTTTGTACCTATGTGTTCCATTTGGAGGCGTTTTCCAGTTTCACGTGAGTTAGTAGGGGTGAGGGACTCCATAGTTGTGGTGGTTTGTGGTTTCATTGTTGTTGATGGTGTAGTTTGTGTTTTTCGTGTTGATATGATTGTTGGTTGTGGAGTTTCTATGTTATCGATTGTGGTGACTGTAAAACAGATATTTTTAGTGGATGAAAGTTTTGTGCATTCTACATAGTCATTCTTTGTCAACCCTTACAACGTTCGAGTGCTTCAGGTAAAGTTTTTCTATCTTGACTGGGAAAGCGATCTATTATTTCTTGTGCAGTGGCATTTACCAGAGTACAAGCAACTTCATTAGATATGAAAATTGTTGTGGTATCCGTATTGTCAGTGAGTACTGGTGAGATTTTATATATGTGGAAAGAGAAGTGATGGTATGTGTGTGTGTGTTTTTATAGATATATAAGGTACACATGGGAGAGGTAGTACTTACAAAAGTTTTGGTTCATTTATTGTAACATCCTATTTTTTCAGTAGCTTCAAATTCATCCATCGGCTTTTAATTGGGTTATTTTTGGCCCTTGATTTAGAAGGAAGTGGCAAACAGAGGCCCCAGTGGCAAAATGGTAAGTTTGGAGAATTAAGTAGTACGTTGGGCGTACATGTGGTATGTTAAGCGTACTAGGGCGTGCTCTAGTATGCTAGGCATACACACATGTACGTTGGGCATACGTGTGCCAGGATTGAACCCTAACTTTTAGGGTTTGTAGAGTATTTAAGCACCTTATGGACCATACCCTCACATCTTTTTCAGCCTCCATACCTCCCTCAGCCGTCTTGAGAGAACCTTAGCCTCCTAGTGATCTTGAGCTAATAAGTGTGTTTTTGGTGCCTTTAAGAAGGAGCTTGTGCATCAAGGAGCCAAGGAGGGAAGATTGGCTTGTAGATCTTGGTTCATCATCTGTTTTGGGAGCTCCAGAAAGTAAAAGCCTGGAACTTTATACTTGTATGAGATAGATCTAGTCATTTTAGCTTTATGGAAGCATTCTTGTCCCAAAATGGTGCATGTTATGATTTGGACGAAAAGAGTTGTCCTTTTAGGCCTTAGAAGAGGTCCTAAGTGATAAAAATGAGGTCTCATTAGCTGAATGTGTCCCATGCATGGAAAAAGAATGGATTAAGACCAAGTATTAAGAGCTTTCTGGACATCCAAAGTGATAAAGTTCATGACTTTATGGGTCCGAGGCACGTTAGGTCACTGGATCTGAAGTTTGGGCTTAAGTGCTTAAGCCATTAAGCACTTAATAAGGTTTTGGAAAACCATCGAGTACACCCAGCGTAAATCCAGTACGCCCAACGTACTGGGTCAACCACCCCGATGGTGGTCAACATCAGGCGAGTATGCCCCGCATACCAGAGGAGTACGCCCCGTGTACGTCCTCTGTTAGTCCTTTGACAATTGGGCTTCGGGTTTTGGGCTGTTTATAGACTAGTTTGATTTGGGCCTTTATTGGACTTTATGAATATAATGATTTGGGCCAAGTGTTGAGATTGGATCTTGGATTGAGGCCTAATTAGGGAGTTGGGCCTAATTCGGTAAATTGGGCCAATAATAGGCTTTGCATAAGGACTTTCAAAGTCATGGAATTGCCATTGGGCCTTGGCCCAATAAAGAGAACGAACATGAGGGATTTTGTGGACCCCTAGTCAAGATTGTTATGTTATGTAATGACTGGTATTTATTATTTGGATAGTTTAAGATTTTTGGTGAGGCAGCGATTCGGGAGTTCGATTCTTCAGTTCAAATCGGCTTTACGAGGTGAGTTATCCTCAATGTACTCAAGGGTCTAAGGCACCAAGGCTGACCCTTTGTTTGGTTATTGGGATTATTACTGTTATGATAAGTTAGCTCGATATCCAAGTAGATAGGATGCTTATATGCTAGTATGATCTGTTAGATTGGTATCTTGGTAGATCGGATGTGGTTATGATTAGTAACCTATAGTTGGTTTGACTGTGTGCATGCTAGTTGTTAGATATGTAGGACTACCTGTAGTCGTATGTGATTATCTGTATGTGCATTAGTTGTGTCATATGTCAACATATTATGTGGGATGGGTTAAGGTGAAACTGTTCCGTACGGTAACCAACAAACCCGGGAGCATTCCAAATACGAGCCGAGGGAGACTCATACTGTGGGCTCAATGCCAATCCAGATGTGAGTTGTTGGCCCATAAGGCAATCCAGACTCACATTGTGGGCCCAGGGGTAATCCAGTCTGTAAAGTTGTGGACCCAGTACATGTTATTATTTGTATATGTGTTATGTGAAGTGTATCGTTATGTTGGCATTCCAACCCAATGGTTGAGGGTCTGGGGTATTCTATCCCAATGGATGATTGGACCCATAGTGTGTTGTTTGTTATTGTATGTGTATTGTTGTGTGTATGGCTATTTTGGGGGTAACTCACTAAGCCTTCGAATGTTGTGTGTATGGCTATTTTGTGTGTACGGCTATAGTTGTTTGTGTGGCTATAGTTGCTTGTGCATGCATCATGGCTGTATATAATTAAGATCTTATAGCCTAAGAATGTTTGATTTGGCCTTATGTTCTGTTCTTGTTGATTAGGGGCTTAAGGTAGGATCAGATATTCGAAAGTCTATAGGGTTCATCATTGTGTATGGATAGCATACACTAGTGTCGCAGGGTTGGTGGAAGTTTCATGGATGGGTGGGTGGTGTAAGGCCGGGAGGCCAGTTACGAGATATTTAGCATTCCTCTAGGAGTAAGTATTGAGTGCTCGCTATGATTAAGTATATTTTTAGGGCGTTGTGATGATACTTGAGACAAATATGCGTAGATGTAGAAGGTAGTATGGGCCCATACTACTAAAAGCACAAGACCCATATGCATAGGAAATGCCGACCGAAC